AGCCCGAAAGGCCAAAATAACTTTCGTTTTTGACCTAAGGGTTCTGCTGGTCAACCCCCTTTTTCGTCCAACCCAACCCCAAACATCCAAAAGTATTTTATTTCCTTTTGATATCCAAAATAAAGTCTCTTCTATCTATTTTAATCCCTGGTCACAATAGGAAACCAAAACAGCCCCATTCATCTTCCAACATCCACCCAACATGGTCCCTACTATGTTCCCTAGTACAACCCACTAAACAACCATAAAAGTCCAGGAGAAACATGGTACTTTCTTAACCCTTTAACCACCAAATAAATCCTCATATATGCAGCCAAAGTACCACACATTATCCTTTCCCATTGTCCCCCTAGTTGGCTGAATACATCCCCCAAAATCAGCCCAAAAGAAGGCCATTCATTCCCCCTGGTTTGCTTTTCATTGGAGGCCCTACAACCACACCCATCCTTGATTTTATCTCAATAAAAGGACCTCAAAACATGGCTGATATTTCAGGGATTTGAGGGAGGATGTTGCTAGGAAGTTTCCTAATGTCTACATTCAATGTATTGTGCATTATCTCCCCCTTTCCCTGCCTATATAACTCAGGCCTTATGGCCATTGTAAAACAACCTTTTGAATATTAAAACATTTTACTCTTTGAGTATGAACAGATAATGCACAATACACCCAATGCAGCGAAGGCAGCAGCATTGGCTCTTTGTGCGTCATTAGTCATTAGCTTGAGAATAGTATGAACAGATACTACCTTGTAATAGAGTCAATAGCATTCAAAAAAAAATAGTGTGATGCTATTTTAGCCAAATTCCTAATTCTATATCTTAAGAGTGGTTATCTTAAGTGTGAGTTTTAGGTTCTAGTTATTTAATTGAGTGTGTCATATCTTAATTAAATTCTAGACTCAACCCCAAGTTAAGATAAGGGTGTGCCATATCTCTTAACACCAACTTGGTTTATCATCTCCTATTTTATTCCCCCATTTCGTACCTCCCCATATTCTCTTCCTAAACCTCTTCTTTTCTTCCAAAAAAACACAAAAAAGAACTCCAAAAACACCTCCCATATTTCGCCCCATATACTTCTGCATTCATTTCCTCCACAAATTCATCACAAAATTAGCAACTTGATAAGACCCCCGGTTCACCCCTAACAAAAGGGCCTTGACATTGTTTTAGGACAAGAAAGTTCTGTCTTGATCCTTGACGATATAGAAGAAGTAAGTCATGCCGTGTTTCTTGAAATGCTTGCTGATACTGATTTCCAAAGTTTTATAGCAGTCAAAGTTTCTACTTTTGATTATGAGTAGTTCATCGATCACAATCTCTTTGGGACGTTTTTCAGAGTTTACAAATCCATTAAGATATTTCCCTGTCCTTTCACATTTTCCTTTGGCCAATGAATGAGGTGGATGGTAGAAAGAGTATCAGGGAAGTAGGAGAAATATACTACAGTCTACAGTTTTTTTTTGTTGCTAACAGTGGTTCTCCAGTGTGCCTTAAGAAAAGTTGCATGAGCTAACCTCTTCTCATGTTGTTTGAAGTCCAAACTTAAAAATGTCTCTCTTGTAGGTATGGGGAAAGCACAAGGAGAATCTAATAAAAGTGGAGAGATACAATTTTTTTGCTTCAAGTGTTCGCCAATTCCGCCTTAATTGTGAATCGCTTTCACAACGTTGTGTTGATGAAAGCGAAGAGGAAGGAGCACTTGTGGCCATTCTCAAAGTTCTTAAGAGGATCCACAATATATTCTTTGATCAGGTACCATATTAAAATGGTTTCGTTTTTGTTTTAATGATTTGAACTTCATTCACTAAACTGGTTTGACTCTTCTTCTTTTTTTTCCAAGAACATGGAGGCGATATGCTTACGACTGATGTGAGAGAGGTAAAAAGTAATTTGGAGCGATCCTGTATTAGTTATGTAGGGTTTTTGATTGTTTTAGCAAGCAAAATAACCCCATCTGATTCAAATTGAGCTGAGAAAGAAGCAAGCCAAAAGTTATTTCACACTAACTACTTGTTCTCGTTTGGGTGTTTCGCACACTCTTTGGATTGGCTGTGGCATGGCAGGTGCTAAAAGGCGTGCGTAAGCAAGTGCTGAAAGGTTGCAAAATTGTTTTCAGGCAGGCAGAGGAGCATCGCCTTTGGAGAATGTCTGAGCAACTTGGAGCCACATGCTCAATGGAAGTAGACGAATCCGTGACACACGTGGTCTCAACGGATGCTGGGACTGAAGAGGCACGCTGGGCACGGCAAAACAACAAGTTCCTAGTCCATCCAAACTGGGTCAAAGCTTCCAACTATCATTTTGAAAGGAAACCTGAGAAGGATTTTCCTCTGTAGCACTTCGAACAAGCCGGGCCCTCCATAAGTGAAATGAATGACAACTCACTCTAGCATGTTTTTGAAAGGGCAAGACTAAAGTCAATTGTAGATACAGGAAAGCCAAGCCCAATGTAGAAAATGGTTTTGTGTGATTGATATATATATATATATATATATATATATATATATATATATATCTGCTACTAATGGTAGGGAGCTGGAGGTGTGCCCTCTCTCATGTGCCTTGATTCCTTACTACTAGAGTTCAGTGTTTCTTTACCATGTATCAACACTCATAGCTTCACTTTCATGTTCTTTGGACTTTAAATATCAAACAAATTCCTATCATGTAACTATGTGCATTTATGACGCACCCAAGGTTTTGCTTTTAAAAGTCGTTCTTAAGAAAATGAGCTTTTAAGTCATACAAAACCTGACTTGAGTAGGGGCTATGGGGCAACAATCCATGACGTTTTCATCTTCTTTGAGTTTGTAGACAAAATGATTTATAAGGATGAAATTTTTTGTGTTAAAATGAAAGGAAATGTCACTTTTTAGAAATGAAGGGAATAGTCGAATAGATAAGAAACCCTTCCAATTACTACTCCTTCCATTCAATAATCCTCCCGTTCATTATTCACAGTGTCACGCTTTATACACTTTGTTGACCTATTTTTGTTGCCTATTTGATAAAAAAGAAATCACCCAAAGTAGCACCTTTAAGCAACCGAAATTACCTTTATAGCAGTGCCATGCCGTTTTTGACTTCTATGGCAGTACCCAGCATAGCACTTGTTCTAAATATTCCAGAAATACCCTTTTTTCTTAATTGGAATTTAATAATGATTTTAGTTACGATGTCTATTCAGGTCCTCGTTACACCGCATTGTCTATGTGCTGCTCAATTTTTCATTTTTTCTAGAGAATCATCTGCAAATCTGTGTTCGTCTAGGCTTTTGCCGATTGTTTTTTCCTAATTCTGTATTTCGATTTTTGCCATTCTCTTGCCACTAAATTTGACATTATTAGAATTTTTGTAGAAAATCATATGGTTACGGTAAGAATTAAATAAAAATGGTATGAATTAAGTAATTACGATATCTATTATTTATATAAAAGAAGGATGAAAATTGAGAAAACTTCCAATCCAATTTTGATGTAATCGGACGGTCCAATTTTATGAGCTATTGACAAATCTAGCCGTCCAACGCATAAACCTAAAAAGAAATCACCCAATATAGCCATCCAACGCATAAACCTAAAAAGAAATCACCCAATTTTGCTAAAACCACAAAAATTTCATTGTAGTTGTCAAGGCACCCCTATTTGAGTTCATTGGCAGTGGTTCTTCACTATGTTTTTTGCCAAACAATTACACAGTTCATACCACAAAACCCTAAACAAAAAATAAAGTTACCGATTCACTGCCAAATTAAACAAAAGTATTGCCGATAAAGTTACTAGTATGTCAAGGTACTACCAACCTTACAACTATGCCAAAGTAACGAATTCACTGCCAAAACGAAGAATACCTGTATCTTCTCCAATATTTTGCTAAGAGGAATCTCGTCCAACGCATCATCGCTTGCCACTGAAACCCTAGCACTGCGTCTCCTTCTCAAAGCTGCTGCATTCAAGGCCGGGTTTAGTCGATTCTATTGCGTGAAGCTCGGCCGCCAATTACTTATTTTTAACCTAATTGAGTATAATTTAATTTTGGGTGTTTAATTAAGGACAAAATCGGGAATTCATCTTAAAAACCTATAGCACTGCTATTTTGAGTATGATAAGGCTATTTTGAGATGAATTCCCGATTTTGTCCTTAATTAAACACCCAAAAATGAATTATACTCAATTAGGTTAAAAATAAGTAATTGGCGGCCGAGCTTCACACAATAGAATCGACTAATTTAAACCCACTGCCAAACAATGCAGTAATTCACTACTTTAATCAATTACCTATTCTTCTCTAAACCCACTGCCATCAATTCCCCAAAAGCACAATGCCATCAACAATTTAAACCCATTCCTAACATTCACAAAAAACCCACTGCCTCAATAAAAAACCCAAAAAAACACACAGTCAAAAAAACAAAAACCCAAAAAAACCAACTACGTTTCAGTGGAGAACAAAAATATCAGTGTTATAGGTTTTTGAGATGAATTCTTCTTCCCCTTGTAGCCTGGTCAATAGTCCATACCCGATCACATAAACCTAAAAAGAAATCACCCAATGTAGCGCCTTTAAGCAACCGAAATCACCTTTATAGTAGTGTCATGCCGTTTTTGACTTCTATGGCAGTACCGAGCGTAGCACTTGTTCTAAATATTCCAAAAATACCGTTTTTTCTTAATTGGAATTTAATAATGATTTTAGTTACGATGTCTATTCAGGTCCTCATTACACCGCATTGTCTATGTGCTGCTCTATTTTTCATTTTTTCTAGAGAATCCTCTGCAAACCTTGCAAACCTGTGTGTTCGTCTGATCAAAAACGGCATGACACTATTATAAAGATAATTTTGGTTGCTTAAAGGTGCATTGGGTGACAGAAAATTACTCACGGGTGACGCATATTTTGTCGAAATAACTCTCAGGTCCCTCTATTTTCAAGAAGACAACGGAGGTCCTTACATTTTGTTGTAATGACTGGGAGGGGACATTGCACCCAATATTTCATCCATACACGTAAATAAATGTATTTTTTTTCTTTTTTTCTAAATATTTTAAGGTAATAAATCTTAGGTCGCTCCTTTTTTATTTCTTTATTTTTCTTTTTTTTTGTTACTCTTTTTTAAAGTGTTATTTTAGAATTTCTTTTATAAAATCGGATAAAAATTCAAAATTGTTTGTATTATATTAAAATAAATGAAATAAAATATTTTCTAAAAAAGAAAAAACCGAGTAATGGCAAAATAGGAAAAAACGGTAATGGAAAAATAGGAAAAAAATACATTTATTAACACTTATGGATGAAATATTGGATGAAATGTCCCCTCCCAGTCATTACAACAAAATATAAGGACCTCAATTGTCTTCTTGAAAATAGAGGAACTCTGAGAGTTATTTTGACAAAACTCACGTCACCCATAAAAGTAATTTTCTGCATTGGGTGATTTCTTTGTAGGTTTATGTGATCTGGGTATGGACTATTGACCAGGCTACAAGGGGAAGAAGAAAAGGAAAAACCCTAAGCCTAAAGCTACGAGGTGAAGCTGGGTCACACCATAATCTCTTTTTCTCAGAAATCGTAATCATCATCATCATCAAAGACAGCCATGGATGCTCTGAGGAAGCAGTTGGACGTGTTGATGGGATCCAACCGGAACGGCGACGTTACCGAGGTGGATCGGAAGTACTTCGACCGCGACGTCTGCCGTCTCTTCCTCTCCGGCCTTTGCCCTCACGACTTATTCCAACTAACTGTTCGTAACGATCTCTCTTCTCCCTTGGTTTCGCCTTTCATATTCTGTATCAAAAAAGGATTTCAATGCTTCTATTTGTGGTATATGCATACACGTACACTCCGCAGTAATTGAGGATTAACATTGTATCGTAAAAACAATTTCCCTATATTCAAAAGGATTTTGATGCTTTTATTTGTCTATGGGCCACTCTACCTATTAAAGGGTTAATTCCCATCAAATTTCAAGTTGAACATAACCTTTGATTCTTACTATGATTTTCAATATTACACAAGAAGTAGGGATTAGGGAGTACAAATTATCCCGAACATTTTCATGTTTCCTCAATGACTTTTCTGCTTTGGTTGTTCTATTTTGGTTTTGAAATGAATAAGTGCATTGGTGTTCTCAATTTCACATTGTCCCTATTCTGCATGCAAATATTATGAATTAAGAGTAGTTACAAAGAAAGGTTGGCGTGGTAGTGGCTGCAACTTCAAAAGGAGCGATTTCCTTTTTTAAAAACTACACAAATGTTGAATTGGGATGATAGAAGTATAGGGTAAACATGGGTGCTTCCAAGGTGCACGAAGTACTTGTGGAATCATACTCAGCTAGTAATGGAATGATTGATTCATTGACCAACTGAAGAAATCAACTGATTATGTTGCCCCCACCCCCGCCCCCAAAAAATTCCCATAAGTTTATGCTTGCGCTCTGAATTTCTCTGCAAACCAGACACACTGCAGTGGTGTCTAGGCCCTTTATTTCCCACACTTCCACAGTTACTACCAATGGCGTACTCCAACACGGTCATTTATGTTGGTTTTATTGCATTGCTGATTATATTTATTTCTTTATTGATTACTATTTTTTATGGTGCTGTTAGTAATTGCATGTTATCTCTCCTCTGTGCAGAAAATGGATATGGGCCCTTGCCCAAAACTGCATTCTTTACTGCTGAGGAAAGAGTATCCTCATGGTTACGTAAATAACACATGCTTTTTGTTTTATCCCTTTAATCATATGTGAATGATCTTTTGAACCTTGCCAAAAAAACTATCTTACTCACAAAGTTTAAAGATGTTCAAGGTATTTTTAGATTTGGCTGAATATTCAGTGTCCATTATTTTTGACATACAAAATGCTTGATAAGGAGTTTCAGCCATTTTTTTCACCACTCTTTTTTTGGTGTTGTTTTGACTTTTCTCTGGAGACAAGGGGTAGATTTGTAGGGTGAGTTAAACCCGGTCCTGCGTCCTATGGGGCACCGTAGTGCCCTCAAATGGCTTGGTATCATATTATGACACAAAGGACTGGTGTCAAAAGAACCGGACTTTTTATTGTATGAAGTATAAAATAAAAATATTTTTCACTCGAATATTAAAAATGTAATGAACTGTAAAAGGTTTTGGATGAAATTATTACAAAAATAATGAAAAATCAGCATTTCTTTGGAGTAAGTGCTACTTACTTGGCCCATGTCTTCCTCATGCACACAATATTTCTGAAAACTGGCTGTTATCAATGCAGTCTATTGATCATTCAAAAAGCAGTCATCTGGTTTTTTGGTTCTTGTAGAAAGTATATTAGACCTTCTGGGGTTTCAAGCAAAGAGTGTTATTTTGAATGTGTGAGTGTCTGTTTTTGTGAACTTTATCTATCATGATTATTATTCAGTTATTTTGTAGTCACTATCATTGTTACCTTAATCTCTTTTCCTAGCTACGAGGAAGCAAAATCAAAAGGTGTTGATAATTATGACAGAGACTTGGAGGATTTTATTGACAGGCTTATTATTGAGTGTGATAGGAAGATATCTAGAGCCCTCAAACGGCTCTCTGAAGAGGATGCCAAAGCTGCCATTGCTATCTCTGTGACTGCAGTTACTCAAGTAGTGCTGCTCAAAGTTGTGTTAGCTTCATATTTTATTATTTCCGAATTCTGAACTTATGCATTATTCACTTGACTACAGACAGAAGAGACTCTGGAGTTAACCAAGCTAATAAAGCAGAAGTTACAAGAAGCTGATCAAAATGGTAAATTTTCTAGTGTTAATTTCTCAACATTAACTTGTATTCTTTATTTCACCTCCATTTATTACATGTATTGCATTTTTTTTAGAAATGATTTGTTTACATATTTATTCCCATTCAGATTTTGAAGGCAAAACAGACTTGAAAATTCGAGCTCTTGAAGAGGTTGAAGAACTCAGGACAAAGCGAGCAGACAAACAGGTATGACAGTTTAATTAGATATTGATTGCATGCTTCAGCCATCCATGAAGCATGCGTGTTTTAGGAGCAATGGATAAAATGTTGCACAAGTGCTCTTAGCCGTAGTGCTTTTGGCTTAAAATGGTTTTGAGCAAAGCAGTTCACTACTTGACCTATTTTATGGCTTAAGTCTTTTTGGATGAATAGGGTGAGTTTTGATCAGGAATAGAGATGTTTATTTAGAATGAGCCGGAAAAAGACTTTCCAAAAACGTGTTCTTTTTAGTTTCTAATTTTGAGGTATTAAATATTGGTTCGTTTATTTTTTTAAAAACATTTCTTAAAATGGGCCACACTTATAATCTTTAGCTTTTACATCTCCCAAGAAAACTTTTAGACCTTGAGAAGCAAGGCCCAACATAGCCTTAATAGTTTATCAAGCTGAACTATAACCTTGTTTTTTCAATGACAGGCAATGTTGCTTTTGGATGCTTTTAACAAAGATCGAGCTTCTTTACCACAGCCACTTCAAAATGCTCCACAGATGGAGCACAGGCCTGCAGCTGCTACAGATTCTCGTATACAGGAGCTGATAAATGAAAAATTAAAGAAAGCTGAAGATCTTGGTAAGTGAATGATTTATTTATCATATATCTATAGTAGTTTACTGAACTGACTTTTTTCATTTCAATTCACAATGGTTTGCAATCCATTTTATTTATTTGCCCATGTAAACCTCTATTCTAGATTTTATGTCATGGTTGGGTTCATCTTACGTGGTCAAAGTTGGGTATTTTGCGATGTCGGGATCGTTACCTATTGTTTGACCATCTATTTATATCTTTCTTTCTAAGCTTTAATACAGTGATGTTCAAGGCGTTGAGTGATGTGACATGTCATACCATTCTTTCTCTTTTCCTTTCAGTTTTATGTTTTTTATATTTTGTGAAGTTTAGGTTGACTGGTAAGTCGGTAATGTTTTGTTTCTTCATTCTCTATTTGAAGTCCTCAGTAGTGATTTAATTCACTTCCCAATAATATTAAAACTTCATATATTTATTTGTTATGCTTGCAAATTGATACTCCCTAAATCACAAAGTTTACCAATTAGAGTATGACATACAACTACGACCAAATGAAGACCATATACGTGTAACTCTTGCATATTTGCTACTGATGTACAGACAAAAGATACCCTCTAGTACCACCTCTGGAGTACTTGTCATTAGGAATAGTTATAATGACATAAGTCCCCCCACTCACACCCACTTATGAGGATATTTGCTACGGATGCGATGACAAAAGATACATGTTTTTACTTATTATAAATAAATATAACAATATTGTCGGACTCTTGGTGATGGATAGTACTGAGGTGATCTTATATATTTTTGTTCTGCCAACAAGGCAGAGCCGTTCTGTGCTAAACAATGGTGAATATCCATTTAATGGCATGTTTGCCTGGGGTACATATTTTTTTTGACATTGTATTTCGTAATGGCATGTTTGCCAGAAATCTGACGTTTCATCATTCATGATTTGAAAATTTCTCTGTTATTATGCAGGCGAACTAGGGATGATTGATGAGGCACAGAAAGCATTGGAAGAAGCTGAAGCACTAAAGAAGGTCACTGACTTTTTGTGCTTTCAATTGTTTTGTTTGTTACTTTGTATGAAGTTTGTGTGCTTGCCATTTCAGTCATTTGACAACCTGCAACTTTCTATGCCCTGCTTCCATAGCATTCGATTTCTCGTTGGGAATCACTACCATATTTAAGTTGCTCTGATTAACTGTATCTCTTTTCTCTCATGCATTCAGCTTCCAGCACGCCCAGAACCCATCCTTGATTCCTCGAAATACACTGCTGCTGATGTGCGCATCGTAAGTGAATCATTTTGTAGTATGTTTTTAGAGACTAGTGAGCGTGCAGGATCTGTGATTTAAGTGATAAGATTGATAAAAAGGGTGGTTACAACTCATCAACACAATATTTGCATGTTTGGGATGATTCAAACTAAAAAAACCCTAAATAACCATGATTTGTTTGTGTCTGCACATATAGCCAAATACAATCACAAGGGGTAGCGAGATAGTTATTGATGATTTGATGCTCCTTCAATTTTGACTACTTGAATTTGAAAGACAAGTTGGATGTTTCATTGTTTCATACACTATTTGGGTAAACTTCTATGATCTTTTAATACAGTATAAAAATATAGCAATGAGGTGTCTTGTTTTACTTTTCTACATGCAGGAAGTTGGAACAAAATGTTTTAATTTTCTGAATATATTATTATGAACTCATATCGAGCAAATCATGTATTCAGTTGTTTTTCACTAATTGAAACATTCTGTATTCATGAATGACAACAATAGCATTAACATGCTTGATGTGTTATTTGGATCACTTGACCTGTCAAGTTATGTTAATTGCAGGATTTTATTTGCGATATTAAGTTAAATGATCAATTTGAATCAGCATAACAGGTTGATTTTGTATCACTGATATATTTGATATTACCTTCGCAGACGGATCAGAAGCTGCGAGTGTGTGACATTTGTGGCGCATTTTTAAGTGTTTATGACAGGTAAATATTCACCCTCATTATTGTGTTAAATATGTGCAATTGTTTTAGCTAGAAGAAAGGCATTTGTATTTATGGCACTTAAATATTTGACATGGGCATTACAACTCCTTATATCACAGGCTTTGGGCCCAATTTTACGAGGATAAACTTTTGCAGCTAAATAATGTGCGTTTGGTTTAAATTTTCTGTTCTTATTCATCATAGGGTCGTATGTGATGGCCATTTACATTCTGTGTTGCCCCCTGTTCTCATTTGCTTATACTTTAAAGTAAGAGCGCCAAGCTGTGTTTTTTGTTTGTTTGCTTTGGTTTACACAGTGATCGTCGTTTAGCTGATCATTTCGGGGGAAAGCTTCACTTGGGCTATATGCAAATCCGAGAGAAGTTAGTTGAACTTCAGGTAAGGCCAATCTTTTACTCTGAGATTCTTACTTTGCTATTTTTTGGACAGCGGCTTTCATTCATAAAAAAATTGGCTCAACAAAGTAAGCAGAAAAAATATCCACCCCTCATTTTCTGTGTTTCCCGAAGCAGGAGCATATCAGAATGTGCTTTTATGTAACTAATGAATTATTGTAGCATTTTGCAAGTATTATGCTTTATAATATGCACCTTAACAATGCATTGTGCATATTTTTATTCAGGTGCTGCTATAATGTATCAATATCTTCTATAGAGATTCTCAGTTTATAATGTTTCTCTCTGTGAGTTTTTCTATCCTCGGAGAAGAGTGCATCCTTTATTTAAATTGTTAATTTAACGGAAAAGTTAATATCTTTCTGACGAAGCATCCAAAAAATGCATTAGACTAGGGAAAAATGTTGCACTGTGTTTGTCTGGTTGGCATATTGACAATGGTTTTGCTTATTCACAAAAAAATTGGTAAGTGTCTTTCAGATTTATATATGCTTGTTGGTCAGACTGTTCTAGCACCTGAACCTCTATGATCATATTGTGAAACAACTGTACAAATGAGATGGATAAGTGCCATCACCTTATCATCTGTAAGATTGCAAATTATAATTATTCCCTCTGCCCATCTCTATTCAATGTTCCCATTTCCATTTTACACGGGGTTCATAAAAATAAGATCATGTATGCTATTTATTTAGAAATTCAATAATCAACATGGATCCCAAAATTCGTGAAATTGTTTGATTATATTCTCTCTCTTTTTGTACTTGAGCAATCGCCTGCTCAAATGAGGCCATTGCATGGTTTTTAAATTGACAATAGACATGGGCACCATTCAGGTATTGTTTGTTTTTACCAGAAAATAAGTTTTTTTTTAGGGCATTGATTTTTTGTATGCATGCCGATTTTTCTACAGTATTCAATGTAGGCTCCTCTTGATTCCAGGAACAATGTTTTTTGTGTTTGGGAAATGATCCTTTGAAAAAAGGAAGCCATTTTATCTAGAGAAAGCACTTTCCGTATAAACTTATTTTCTTGCTAAAAAATGTGTTGCAATCCATATGTTGAGCAAAGCACAATTGCATGCATATTGGTTCTTAAGTGTGTCTTGTTAAATTTGTAACAAATGAGCTCTACTCCTAATTTCCTATTAAGTGTTCGCCTATGCACTAAAATAAGTTAAATGCGTAGGAATGGATGATGTATGTGCCTCTTTATTAGAATGCAATTTTGGCGACGACATATTTTTAACCTTATCTTCTTTCTGATGAATATACAGGAAGGGAAAAACAAGAAAATGAAAGCCTATGAAGAGGAGAGGAAGTAAGTCTCAATCATGAAGAAAAAATAAGTGCAGTTGTTTCTACTTAATTTTTTCTCTCTCAAGTATTACACCACCAGTCCCTTAGGCCATTGTCACATTTTGGTCATTCTGATCACTATCGGGCCAATATGTGTATGATTTCTGGTTCGTTTTTTCGCTTATTTAGCGATTAGAAAGACCTAAATCCAGTGAAATCCCACAAAACAGGATTCCCACGTTCATGCATCAAAACTGAAAAATATAAATCTGGTACCGAAAGTGGAATATTTTATGTCATAGATCATGTGCATTTGGTGTTCTTCCACTCCATGTCCTCTTTTATCATCTACTCTTTCTGCATCTCAAAGTTTTGTTCTCGAGGGCAACAATTTCATAGTAACGTGTACTTCTATATATCATCATGCAGGTCTAGAGAGCGGAGAAGTCGAGAACCGGAAAGGGAATCTAGTAGGGATCGAGGTGATATCCGTGAAAGGGATCATCATCGTGACCATAGAAGCAAAGACCGAGGTGATAGGTACAGTGACCGAGACCGAGACCGAGACCGAGGGTATGATAGAGAGAGGGAGCGCTCTCGTGGCTATGATTCTAAGGCCCGCCGCCGGTCACGTTCTCGATCGAGAGAGCGTTCCCGCGATTACGATCGCCACAGGTTCCTTTCCCTCTCCTCTTGCCGTTACTGTGCTGGTCTTGTTTTAACTCACTCCCTCCCTTCACAATTAACGGCACCAAGACTTTTTGAGATGCATCAACAGTTGAATGAATGTAGACACGATGTATGGTAACATTCATTCAAGTATTGACGGATCTGAAAATTCATAATCGACAGTTAATAGTGAATGGAGGTAGCATATCGTTTTCATACTATATTTTCTCTCTCACATTTTTCAGGCGTCATGACCGCTACTAGGCCAAATACTACTGCCATATTTGTTCGGTCGCTATTTGCACGCTTGCGATCGATCAACTAGCGTTTCATTAATATGACCTTTTGTTTTGTTTTTTTTTGTATTGAATTATCAGCTTTAAAATGTGAATTGCCCGGGAAGCAATTTTAAATGTGGCGTAGTAATCAGTATTTTTCTTAGCGGTTTGATTAACTTTGAGAACTTCAAAGTACTGTCTCTAGGTGTTATGTTGATTTTGTACTCTTTATTTCTCAATGAAAACATGTTCTTGTTGTGGATTTAAGTTTTAGTTCAGGCATAATGAACATGTAAAGGATTATCTTATGCATTGGGATCATAAGTTTCCTTGTTTAAATCTCGTATTAGTATGATATTGTTCGCTTTGATTTGGATCTTCTGAGATTTGTTTTTGAGAATCCCCTAAAGGTCTCGTACTAGTGGGTTGGAATGAATCATTAAATTTGATCCTATCTGAAAAAGAAGGAACTTAAATCAATAGGTTTAACCTACTTCATTGATATGAGACTTTTTTTGGGGGTATTCAAAAATAAATCTGTGAGGGTTCGGTGCATAACAGATAATATTTTACTAGCATGAAGTTGGGGTGGGGGTATGCATGGTCCCAACATTGTTTCAGCATATCGGGAAAACATCTTTGACTGTTAAAAAAATGTTGCCTGGATAATGAAAATGATTAGTACAAATTAAATAAATTTATGTTATGGAAAACAATTGGACGCTTTGTTATGAAGTAAGGTTTTTGATTAGTGTAAGTGCTTTGTATAAAATTTTAAAAGTATTGCTATATCAACCTTCATTTTGAATTAAATGGAGAATTTTTACTCTTAGATGAAAATTATCAATCTAACATTAATGAATGGAGTGGATTTAGCTAAAATGTAGGTGGATATAGGCCTTGTTTGGGAATAGCGTTTTTGATTAGCTTTAGTGTTTTGGATAAAATTTTAACGGTGTAGATTAATTTTAAAAATGTTAACGCTAAAGGCTACTGTCGGATAGCCTTTTCAAAACGGTAACATTAACCTCTAACGCTGATGCCAAACGGGCCATAACATATTAGTAACACTCAAATTTTAATGATGTAGATTAATTTTAAAAATTCTAACATTAAAGATTATTGTTAGATGATTTTTTTTAAATGCCAACACTAAACTTTAACGGTGTCGCCGGATAAAGTCAGAAATTTATTTCACTTTAGAATTTGTAATACATATTTAAAGTAATTGATGGTCACAATTTATTCTGTTTGACTTGAGAAAATTAAATTGGATGAATATCTGGGATGGAAGAAGCATTTATCAACACCGTTAAATAACGAAGGCTTCGTTTGGTATACAAGATTCAAACCATGAAATTAGAATTAAGAACAAAAATTTAAATTCCACTGTTTGGTATCACAAAAATATGTGGATTTCGAATTGGTAGTGCCAAAAATGAATTAAAATTGGAGAATTCAATTTCATCCAAATCAATCCCATAAAATTTGAACTCTCAATCTAATTCTAATTTCATCAATTCTGTGTACCAAACAGACCCTGAGCGTTATTCTACGAAAGTCAAACTATATGCATCTTGTGTTATTAGCTTAAAAGGTGAGATTTTTCCCAGCTAAAACCAAATGTCAAATTATTAGTACTTCCTCCAAAAAATATTGTTTCAATTACTTTATTGGCTTTCCAATAATTTATATTACTTTTAATTTTTTATATCAATTTGAAAATAAGTTTTCTAAAAGAAATGTAATTTTATACGTTGTTCAAAATGAAACAATATTCTTGGGATACGAGAGCATTAACCTTCTAGGGAAATTTTTAATTACTCTCCATGAATTTTTCCTGATTTTTCAGCCCAATTTTTGTATTAGGTAGTAGTTTAAATGAATTAAAGGTAGCCTTTTTTTTTAAATGACGTTATTTGGACACAGTGAATTGGAAAGCTTTAATTCATATACTCTGCACTATGAATTTTCCCAGTCTATAACTTGGATCAAATTACCTACAATAATTATAGTTATCAGTCTCATATGGTATTAAAGCTCTTAACAAGCAAAAAGTCATAGCCCATTTGGCGAGGGAAACAAAGTTAATATGATTTAAAGTCTGAAAATTGAAAAATATGACATAAAAAACATAAATTATAATTGAGGAAGATGTATCAAAACTTCCAAATTAATATTTCCCAAATTCGAAAGAAGACTCTCAATTATGAAGGTCGTGATATAAGGAGATATCATAATCCAAACCCTATTTAGGCTTTCACCAAATACCCACAACTATTTTTTGATATAATGAGTAATTTATATTTCACGCCCTCACCAAACAAGCCCTTAGCTACCCTTTAAAGAGTACCTATACCATATATTCAAATGTATGGTATTTCTCGTGCATCCGCATGAATATTCATTTTCAAATAACAAATACTCATTTTCGAGTAAAAATGAGTATTCAATTACTCGAAAAAGAGTATTCAGTTGTTTCAAAATGAGTATTCAGTTACTCGTAAATGAGTACTCACCGCGGATGTACGGGAAACACCGTATAACCGGTTGTACGGTATGTATTGCGCTCTTTAAGAGTACTTGAAACACAGTTGATATGAAAAAAGCATGCATCACATATAATATACACATAAACATAAACAAAAGTTGTTATTGTTTGCCTATCACAGACAACTGAAGAAGATGGATTCTATGAAGGGACCACCACACATACAATAACAGTATCTTTTTTAGGAAGAAAAAAAAAGGAGCCACCACTCATTCCTTTTGGGGATCTTTAAATAAAGGTTTTGCCACAAAAGAGAGTAATAATATAAGGGGAACTTACCCTTTTAGAGCATAATCTCTCTGCCAAAAACCCAGCTGAAAGGAACAGCAAGACTCTTCTTCTGTTTGGCCCTTCCTTGTGCTCTCTCTTCCAGTTTCCTAATCCTCGGA